TTTCATGGTAGTTATCCATTGTAATCTTGTCAAAAATTCAGATGAAGTTACGAGTTCTGTGAGATGTTCAAGTGACTACTCGATACTTTAGATGCGATACGCCATGCCTCGGTGATTTGTGTGTAGTTTGGAAGTGGCAAACGAAATCCGAAGTGCTGGTGAAGCAGGTACTTCTTCATAACAAATGACGTCATTCGAAGTGAATTTATGCCGGTCTTGTGAGCAGAGTCCTTTGCACCACATTGATCACTTATGGGCTACTCCGTTCACGGTGGCAAAGAGACACAACGAACCAATGACGAAAGAGCAAAGGTCTCGGGGACTCCGCCCAGGATAAGCGTGGAACGGCCTGATGGTGACTGGGTGACCAACAAAAAGAAGAGGTTTCAATGACAAAAAAGCAGTAGCTATTTCCGTGTGAGGTTCTTGTGAAGACGACATTTGGGACAAAGGGTACTTCATGGAAATGGCAATGCCAGTGGCCAGTGCGACGTCCCATAGGAGGGACTCTGTACAACTCCCTGTCACTACCTACCTGCCACAATACCGAATTTCCTCACAATCTTGCCCTCGAACAGGGGGAGGGAGGTGGCTAGACACCTCAATAGTAGTTTTGCCGGCCACCTATTGGCTTGGATAGCGCTTGTGAAACGGGAAAACCAAAGTCGTTAATCGGAAAATTCTTCTTTACGAAAAAATCCAGTCTTGCTACCGGCCAAGTACGACCCTCCACGTGATTCACAACGACTGTGTACGCTGTTTGAGTCGCATGATTAGTTTTCTGAATAATTTTTACAATCAGTGCTAGTAAAGTGAACAGAGCGTGGTTTCAAAGACTGGCCACATCTATTCATGAATTCCTAAAAAATCGGGTTTTGAACGTTTTCTAGATGTTTGTGATTCTGAGTGGCGAAAGAGACAAAGGAAGTCATCAACGGCTGATGAAGGAATTCCCGATGGTGCATGTGCGTGCCGACAACAATTATACTATTTTAGGGCTGTGTATCTGGCGTCGATCGGCATTTTACAGCGAAAGTCGGCTGTCGAACTAACTATTTGGGAGCGACACTCTGTGTCTGCGAGTAAG